CCATTATGCTTCTCATATTGGTTTTACCAATGTTTCTAAAGCTTTTTCGTCTGGCCTCCCTCTACCGAACCATCGCAACAAAAACTAGAGGGAGATTCTTACCTTAGCCTAGTGATCTTTAAGGTGCCAAAGTCATCTTGTTGATTGTCATTAATCATCTGCTACGTGTTTCACTGGATGTCACCCAGAGATATGTCTTATCTTCTGCGCTTATGGTGTTTCTTACCTATCTATTTCCTATGCGCTTCAAATCATATATATTAAAGCTTATATTCTTTGACTGCTAATTTCTATATAATATATTATAAAGGGAAAATAAGTAAATTAGTGTCAGAATTCCGCGATCAAAGCAAAACAACCCTCAGCTCGCGCAAGCCGACGCTCTCGCAAAGCTGCCACGCTTGCACATCTACCCACCCTTGCAGAACGGTTGGATGGAGACAACTTCACGGAACCATCATCCGAACTCAGGCTGCAGTCCCCCTTGTGCAACGCTTCTTTCACGCAGTCTTCGAAAAACCTACACGCTTTACACCCGACAACCTTCCAGGACTCAACCGTGAATACCGCGGTTCTTCGCTCACCATGTTCATCCAGCTCCAGTCCCCTATCATCCAACCCTACAATGCCCACGACGTCTACGACGGCAATCAGCTTATCCAACCAAAACAGGTACTCTCTGACGAAAATCTTGATGAAATGCTCCGCACTCTTGACGAGTACTTACAAACAGTACGCGATGCAGTATATAGCGCTCTCGCCAATCCAGCACAGAAAAGTGCAAAAACGTATTTTTCTGTTGAGTAATCCACTGATAATCCTCCTGCTGCTCACCTGCACATTTGTAACGACAGAGGCTAAACTGGGGCTTTATGACATGGAAAACCTGCAATACAATGTCTTTGTACCGGGGCGTAGCTCGCATCGGTTTCCTGTGTTATCACATTTGAGTGAAGATTGAGAATCAAATAGCTTCTTACATCCATTCGAAATACGGCGAAGAGGTCCCATCAGTTTTCAGGTTGCTTTGTGGCTTCGATTGCTTCAGGGATAGTGCGTACAATAACGAGTTTCAGCGGCTGGCTAGTATGCCGTTGTTGACTTTCCAGAAGTATTTGCGCGAGGAGAAAAACATCTGTCTCAGATATGGAGCGGGACGTACCATGTCTATTAACGGAGGAGGAAGGGCCATCATTGAGTGGGAGGACGATGGAGTCTTTTCCATCACTGGATCCGCTGTGGAAACGCTGCGTGAACTCTATCCAGAGGCCAGTGGGCTACAGTCTAGTCCTGTGGTTCAGGTTGTTCGTGGCACTAGCGTACGTGACATGTGCAATTCTGTTGACCATGATGGGCTCCAGAATTACCTCGAGCTTGATGGTGCAGAAGAACAGCTCGGTGCCGATTCCATCCAACGGTACAACACCGTCACCTCCATGAAAACCTAGGCTACACGATTTGGCGTGCGTAGTTGGAAGCACGAGGCCAGTAGGCTAGTAGCTAATTTTATTAGCCTATTAACAGAAGCCCAGCTAAGCAATATAACGTTGATATAGTAGCAGTAGTTGTAGTAGCAGTAGGGTTGGTATTGGTTAATCATTTAATTATTTTAATTTAACCTGAACAGCTTGCTTAGTAATCCAACAAGTTAGCTTGGAAGCTTGGATAGCGGAGTACCGGCTATCAGATAATATATTTATCTAGTGTTTGGAACGTATTTAATATTTATTTAACTGCTACTAAGTAGCTCAATATTTTAATAGTGCAATTGCCATTTAGTTTTGCTTGTTTGGCTTGGTATTTATTGAGACCAGCTACTAGTGGTGTAGTCACTCTACCTATTGTGTACTTGTATATTATTATGTGGTACGATTATTGAGTGAACTGTTTGATTCTTAGCTTGGGCATTAGAGTTGTGTATTGGATTATAGTGTCCTAGTAGACCCCGCCTGGTGATAACACGCGTTGTGGTTTTTATTGGCAAGTCGTCGTGTAACTCACCGTGTTTTAGGCACTCTGGGCTTAACTATTGGATAGTTAGGACGAAGCCCGAGTTGCGTAGTCAGCAACGACCCCCTAGGAGAGTGGAGAATCGGCGTAGGCCTGGTAGTGATTATTGCACGTTTGTTTTGGTGACTTGTTTTTGACTTGTTCACAGTGCCCGTGTATGAGCCAGTCCTATACCGGTTAGACCCGGCTTTTGGCCCAGTGGTTTCCCTGACCTTATCGCAGACCCTGGAACTTTACCCAGCCATTGTAGGCTGAGCTATCCCCGGCAAACGGTTGCGACTGCACTTTTAATATTTTTCTTCCAGTGCGAGAAAGTAGCGTCGCAAATGGAAATTCACAGCTCAGTTAACTTTTTAGGAATACTGATTGATTCTAATCTTAATTGGAAAATTTTTGTCAATAAAGTATGTAAGAGATTAAACTCTATTTGTTTCCAAATGATTGTTCTTCGAGAGGTTATCGACTCAAAAACCAGGCTTATGATTTATCATGGTCTTTTTTTGCCAGTTGTAACCTATGGCATTGAGTTCTGGGGAATGTCATCTCATGCACATACAATTTTTAAGATCCAAAAAAAGTACATCCGCCTCATGACATTCTCCTCAAAGAGAAAGTCATGTACACAATTTTTCAAAGAATTTGGTATATTAACTGTTCCCTGCCTATATATTTTAAGAGTTCTGATGTTTGTTAAAAATAATTTTGAAATTTTAAGTAACACTCAACATAGGCACCATCATGAAACTAGATTTCAAGCAAATTTTCAGTATCCAAGACACCGTCTGACGCTATCTGAAAAGACACCACAATATATGGGGAGGAAACTGTACAATAAACTACCCAGCGATTTGAAGGAAATATTAAAGGAAAACAGCTTTAGAAAAAAGTTAAAGGATTTTTTGATTAAACAAATTATTGTTCAGTTGACACATTTTTAAATGATAAGTTTTAGAAAATCAACTTGTAAAGGGATAATTCATGTTCTTAAAATGATTATTGTGAGGTTTTATTAATTTTTTGTTTCTCTAGATACTTATTTCTAGGTGTAACTACTTAATTATGATAACTTTAATGCATTGACAATGTCATCTATTCTGTTCTAGCTTTGCTAGTTGTTAAAGAATGTACTTTCATGACAATAAAGATATTCTTATTCTTCTTATTCCTCATTGGCTCCTTCGTAATCACGGGGTAGATAGGCTCCTCTCTCAACTGCAGACTCTCGTGGACCGTATATAGAGTTCAATTGTATTTGGATTAGCAGTAGCCAGTTTTTAATTAAAGGGAATATAGTTGAATTAACCTCTTATAGAGTGTGATACTATTTGAGTATTAGTTTCTTGTACTTTGATAGTTGATGGGGACATAAACGGTCAAGTCTGGTGGTATTTTCAGTTATACACAGCTAAAAGGTTGATGAATAAAAAATGCTGCATTTTACTTTGTACACTCTCTCTACAATCAAACTTGGTTCTTTTTACTCTTGTTTTACTATTTTAATCCTAGCAGCAACTTTGACATATCAATTGCATGTGTATTTCATGGTTGTAACACTAATCTTGTTTAGTCAAATTGTAAAATTTAGGTACTTAGTGTTGTATTGAGGTAGTTATTTATCAACTATTTATGTTTTACAAGTAGGCTACCCAGCGATCGGGCAGAAATTGACCTTGAGATGATCTAGGTGTAGATAGGGTACTCTCAGCTGTTTATCTCGAATGCGCATAATCAGCTGATCACGTGACGTCAGTAGGTGTTTGTATTTTGTGGATAAAAAGTGTTGGCCTGACCGAGGATCGAACTCGGGTCTTTTGATTGGTAGTTGTACGCGTTAGCTGGTAGAGCTACAACAGCAGTTATGGATATAGAGTTTATAGTGGTAAATGACACCTTAACTTATATATAGGGTGGTAAATGACACCTTGTACCTATATAACATATGTATATATACAGGGTGTGTATTGGAGGTTTGATTTTAACCTATCATTGGAGGTTCACGGGTTCAAATCTAACCTATGTTAGAGGTTTCGAATCTAACTAATGGTAACTGAGGTTCACTGGTTCAATCCTAACATATTATTGGAGGTTCACGGGTTCGAATTTAACCAACCACTAATGGTAACTGAGGTTCACTGGTTCAATCCTAACATATTATTGGAGGTTCACGGGTTTGATTCCAACCTAACACAAAACATGTTATTTTTAATGCCGGATGTAATCCAACTTCAGCTGTTTATTTCAGCTGATCACGTGACCTGGTTTAGAGGTTTATGGGTTCAATCCTAACCTATCATTTAGAGGTCTATGGGTTCAATCCTATCCTAGTAGGTCTGGAAAAAAACACTTTATATAGTGTATAATGCTTAAACCTTACTGTTGATCATAATTGGTAAATGTTGGAGGTTATTTTATAGTGTATAATAAATATAAATCAGCTGAAAGAGGGCTTAAGTGGAATTTTACCGTTGATCATAAAAGAATGTTAAATGTGTAGTAGTATTGGAGGTTATTCTATATATGCTATAGTGTGATGAAACAAATGATAATTGTATCTGATGTTAAAAACAGCTGAAAGAAGGCTTAAGTTTACCACTGAGTATAAAAATGGTCTTTGTAAAGGCTATTAAATATCATATGTCAAACTTACATCTAATCTATGCTAAACGAGTTACTTAGGTTGTTTTTTGTATAGTGAGAGGTTCATAGGTTTGATCCTTAGCGGGTTATATGAATTTATGTATGTAACCACAAGTGAAACAGGTCTATTATACTAGAGTACTAGTGTTGATGCAGTAATAAATGTATAAATATATAAGATTTACTATGTATTACTTGTACTATATGTACATCTTGTATAAATGTTTTAGTCTAAGTTGTCAGAGCTTTCTTTAATGTAGCAGTGATTCTTACTATCTTGGTTGATTACGTGACCTCAAACCAATGCTTTGTTAATTAGTGTAACAACTGATTATATGACATTGGAGCGACCTCTACAGTGTAGCTTGTTTGTGTAGTTCAACACTTGTGTAGTTCAATGTGAGATCAATGTTACAGCTTCTATTATGGGTAAGTGTTAGAAGTAACTATTTATTAAAACTATTACTATTTTGAAATTTGTATTATAATACAAATGTATTAACAATAAAGGGTTTTTGAGGTTAAATAAAAACAGTAGATTTTACTCAGAGAAATATATATTTAGCCTATCGGCTATAAATTTTCTGCAAAAGGGACATCTATATACCCTGTGCGCGCAATTAGGGCACAGGGTATGCCCACATGGTTGTAAAGCAACTGTGGGGGCATTCTCTAGGCAAATTTGACACGTTACCGAATTAATTGGGGGATTTGATGGTCGTGGAACTCGTTCTGATATCATAGTGTCTATTTGGCCGGTAGTCTGCCTCAATACACCTTCTAAAGTGTTACGGAGGTCCTCCCATAGAGCTGATATAACTGCTGGCTGTAGTCCACAAGCATTTGAATAACCCTCTAATGTATTTCCGGCTAAGCTAGCTACAGCTAGGAGTTCGGTTCGTAGCGTAGCAATCCTACCAGCTGCAGCTGCAGGTAGGGTAAATTCCGGGTTATTCATAGCCTGAAAGATATTATACAAGAATTAATGTTTTTATCTATTTATATAAAATAGTATAAACCATAAATCAGCTGGTTAGTAAAATTTATTACAGTAGTATATAATAAATCTCTCTCAAGTTGGAGGTAAACAATAGTTAAATTTTGTGTGGAAAGTTTAGTGTAAACATATTAATTTATTTATACTTAATTTCTCTTTAAAGGATACCTACCCTTTGAAGTAACCTCCTGCGAAAGGTTTCAAGGCGAGCGCTCTGCCGGCAGCTGCGACATTCACGTGTTTCAGGTATAGTTGAAGTAGAATTCTGAAAATAGAAACATATATATTAAGCTGATTTTTATTTACTTCAATATATAGTTGATTTATCATCAAGGTAATATTATATTTGGATCACTCATTTACTAGTTAATCTGTATCATATAAAACTGGGGTAGCTTTCTCTTCTAATTTAAATTTATTGTTTGAAGGAATAAAAATAACTGAATAAAACTCTGTTATAAAAACATATACTACAGATTTATATAAACATTTGTAGATTTAATAATGTAGTGTTTAACTAATATTCTTTCTATAGATTTGTATAGGTGAAATATTTGTTTAAGTACTATATCAAGTCCCAATAAGTGGAAAATAATATGGTTTTATAAACCAGGTGTAGCCCACTGTTGGAATGTAAAACTTATTAGAACTAAAAATATATGTGTTGAAGTAACTTTGTGATTAGTTAACTAATGCAACTCTATTTAAGTGTAACAGTTTATTAGATTAATAGCTATAAAGATTAATAAGTTTGATAAATGTGGTGTTTTATTTTTAAATCTTTAAAAAAGAGATAAATAATAACAGAAAAAATCTAATAGCTGTAATTGTATCTCAACACTTTTATTTGTTGTATATATAAGAAATTTATCATTAGTAACTAAAGCAAGCTTAGGAAGCTAATATGTTTAGTAGAGTTAAAACCATTGAAGTAATTACTTAACTATATCAGCAAAAATAAAAAGTATGTTGAGTTGAATGATTTGATTTTGAGTTTGTTCTTACAGGCTATCAGTATTACACTTATATGTCTTGTAATGTTAAAATACTTATTACAGGTTGTATATGTTGGGGAGATTGTGATGGACCGGCTAATTCATCAGCTGTTGGCTGCTGTCTAGCAACATCAGCTGGAGTATTCACTGTTGAAGGTGTTTGGGATATAGCTGAAGTTAAAGGTATTGTAGGTCTAATGATATTAGTTATATCGGAAGATGGCTATTGAAAACAAAATAAGTATTAGTAATAGCTTAGGTAGTAATTACTTGATTACATCAGTAAAAATAAAAAAATGTCGAGTTAATTAAATTGATTTTGTTAAAATACTATAATAATTTGTACTTGTTTATACAAGTATGTTTTATTAAACAGAACCTTACTGTTGAGCATAAAAGAATGTTAAATATGTAGTAGTATTGGATGTTTATAATAAATGTGGAACAAACGATAATTTATCTATCTGATGTTAAAAACAGCTAAAAGAGGGCTTAACTTTATCATTAAAAGCTACTAAATATAGTAGGTTTGACTTGAAGGTGGTTGATAATTATCTAACTTCTTTGGTAATTATCTAACTACATTAGTAAAATAAAAAGTATGTTGAGTTGAATGATTTGATTTTGAGTTTGTTCTTACAGGCTATTAGTATTACACTTATATGTCTTGTAATGTTAAAATACTTACTACAGGTTGTACTCGTCTGGAAGGTTGGGATGGTCCAGCTAATTCATCAGCTGTTGCTGTCTGCTGTCTAGCAACACCAGCTGGGGTATTCACTGTTGAAGGTGTCTGGGATATAGCTGAAGTTGAAGGTATTGTAGGTCTAACGATATTAGCTATATCGGAAGATGGCTATTGAAAACAAAATAAGTATTAGTAATAGCTTAGGTAGTAATTACTTGATTACATCAGTAAAAATAAAAAAATGTCGAGTTAATTAAATTGATTTTGTTAAAATACTATAATAATTTGTACTTGTTTCTACATGTATGTTTTATTAAACAGAACCTTACTGTTGAGCATAAAAGAATATTAAATATGTAGTAGTATTGGATGTTTATAATAAATGTGGAACAAACGATAATTTATCTATCTGATGTTAAAAACAGCTAAAAGAGGGCTTAACTTTATCATTAAAAGCTACTAAATATAGTAGGTTTGACTTGAAGGTGGTTGATAATTATCTAACTTCTTTGGTAATTATCTAACTACATTAGTAAAATAAAAAGTATGTTGAGTTGAATGATTTGATTTTGAGTTTGTTCTTACAGGCTATTAGTATTACACTTATATGTTATTGTGATATCCGTGGATAAGTAAAGTTATGTTTGGTTTTCCTGCTTTAAATTAAGTTTTAAGTTAATAAATGTAGAATAAATAAAGAGTTAAAATTGTATCAACTTTCTTTCTTTAGTATTAGTTTATTTACATTCAATTATTTCCATGGAAACCAAAAATAAAAACCAGCTGTCTCAGCACACTCCCACATCATTAGTTAGTTGTTCTGGGCCCCTTTTTTCTTTCCGGAATTCACGTCAGAGACTTCAATGGGATACAACAAGTTAATAGGTCTGGTGATGTATTTCCCAGATCCTAACTTTAATTTGGCACTTCTTACGTTTCCATCAGCACTGACGTTAAGGACTTCTATTTTCCCAAGTCGCCATGTCCCTCTGGGTAATGTGTCGTGAACATGAACTACATCACCAACTTGTGGATGTTGGGTTGACAGAATTCTTCCTTGTTTGATATTATGTTGAGTTCTCTCCCTTAAACTCAACAGATAGTCTTTCTTCCAAATCTTCCAAAAGCTATTTAAGTTGTTGGTTCCCTTTTTCCACATCTTTAATAAGTCCGATTCAGTCACTTTAGAAATAAACTCCATGTCGTTTTCTTGACATTCATTCAAACTATTTACAAAACCATTTTTTTCCATGGAAATTAAGGAAGTGGCCAGGAGTTATAATAAAGTCAGTCAAACTTTGATCTGAGGAAGATACATAAACTAGTGGTCTTGAGTTGACAACAGCTTCTATTTCAATCATCACAGTGTCGAGTTGTGATTTAGTCAGAGTAACTGAACCAATACTCTTTCTTAAACATCTCTTTATCAAAGATATCAACCTCTCGTACATTCCTCCCATCCAAGGTGCAAACTCTGGGATGTAAGTAAATTCGATGTGGTTTTCACTTACATAAGACAGTAATTCTGGTGTAGCGAGATGTTCAACAAACATATCATTCAAGAACGAGGAAGCCCTCTTAAACTGAGTAGCGTTGTCCAAGTAAATCTTCTTCGGAGTACCTCTTCTTCCCACAAACCTCCTGAGAGATAGTAAGAATTCTTCTGACGACAAGTTATTGGTGATCTCTAAATGAACAGCTCTCGTGACTAAACAGGTGAATATGCAACCGTAAACTTTTGAAACTTCAACTCTAGAAGCTTGAAAGGATTTAATGTAGAGAGGGCCAAAGTAGTCAAGTCCTGTAAATTGGAAAGGTATACTTTCAGTCACCCGTTCTGTTGGAAGCGAGGGTATTTGGGGCAGCTTGTATGGTCCACCTTCGTATTTTAAACATTTCAAACATTTTCGCAAAACTCTGTTGACTTCAGCTCTGCCATGGATTATCCAAAAGGATTTCCGAAGTTCCGAGAGAGTTTGTTGCACTCCCATGTGAAAAATCTTACAGTGACACTCTTCTATGAGCAGTTGAGTAAATAAATCGTTCTTTGGTAGAAGTATAGGGAACTTGCAATATTCTTCAAGGTCTGCATTTGAGATCCTACCCTTACATCTGATAAGTCCATTCATATCAACGAATAGGCCAAGTTGATTCTGCAATCTATCATACCTACCATCTCTTATATTACTTAGTGTTTCACTAAAACAAGTGTTTTGAACATGTTTGATCCACGATAAACGAGCATCTTTGAGTTCTTCAGATGTAGGAATAACATGATTTGGTTGTTTATTCCGTCTGCATCCACTTATAAACCTTTTACAAAAAACTGTTGTCAAAATCAGTTTCGAAAGTAATGAAAACCTTTGTATATCTATGCCAAAAGGACTACTAGTTTCACTTACGTCTTCGGTCTTTGTAGTCAAGGTGACGACGTTTTCTTCAATAGTTTCAACCATATCGTCTTCAGTTAATGGCTTGTTAAAATCAGAAGACCAATCCGGCCACAAGTCTTGACTACAAGACATCCATTGTGGACCTGACCACCATTCATTGCAGTGTTTCAGATTATCCACCGTTTTACCTCGAGTCGCCATATCAGCTGGATTTTCGTCAGTAGGAACGTATCTAAATTGCGTCTCGGTGTTGGTTTTGATCTCCATTACTCTTCTCTCCACAAACTTAGGAAGCAGCTTTGTTGTGCTAATCCAACGTAACACGCATTGTGAATCAGTCCACAGTATCTTATTTACAACAGGAAATTTTAAGGATTCTTCCACAAAACGTAATGCTCTTGTTCCAATCAACACTCCTAAAAGTTCGAGTCTTGGAAAGGTAATTTTCGGCTTTGACTTTGGGGTTAAATGGCTTTTACAAAACATGAGAGTCACTTTGACAGTCTCCTTACTAATTAATTTGATATACACAGCACACGAATATACATCCTTTGATGCATCCGTAAAACAATGGAGCTCTACATGATCTGCTCGTAATCCTGCGAATCGAGGAATAGAAACTTCAGTTACTTTAATAATATCATCACATATAATATTCCATTCCCTACATTTAGGCTCATCTAGTAATTCGTCCCAATCCAAATTGTCTTCCCACATCTGTTTGAGAAAGATTTTAGCCTTCAGTGTTACAGGGGATAATAACCCTAAGGGATCAAAAACGGATGATATAGTACTTAAAACTTGTCTTTTTGAAATAGGTTTGTTTCTGTCATTGTTAACAGGTTTTATGTGAAGATTGTCAAGATTGGTGTTCCATCTTAATCCAAGAACATTAACATCAGTAGGATTCTCAGTTGTAGTTTTTTCCATTGGTATTTGTGTCATTAGTGTCTTTGAGTTTGAAGACCAACATCTAAGGTTCATGTTAATATCAGAGAACAAACTAGAAGCAGTTGTAAATAGTGTTGTGGCCTCTTGATCTGTGTCACATCCGGTAACCACATTATCAACATAAAATGAAGACTTCAACCTTTCATTAAGATTATCAAGTTCACAATTTGACAAATGATGAAAAACAGTAGCACTGAGTAAAAATGGACTGGATATGATTCCAAACGGAACCCTACAAAATCGATACTCCTCAATATTATCCTTAGTAGGTGCTGACAAAGGATCTTTGAGCCACAGAAATCTAGTTACATCTCTATCTGGAGTTTGAAGATTTATTTGAAGGAATGCCTTCTCAATATCAGCAATAATTCCAATAGCATTCATTCTAAAACGTAAAAGTAAACTACATAGGTTTTCCAAAATTACAGGTCCACGGTAAAGACAATCATTAAGACTATTGTTGCCTTTTCTGGTTTTTGCTGACGCGTCATACACTATCCTAAGTTTAGTTGAGGTTTTCGACTCAGTGATAATAGGGTGATGAGGTATATAGTGAAGGACTCCATCGTTTCTGTCTGAAAAACTCACTCGTTCGATTATACCTCTGACACACATAAGACCTCTGACTACCACTATCAAAAAGAACACCACAACGCGTTTCTTGTTTAGTATCAGCATTACGCAAAGTAATAGTTGCAGTTTGAAGAATAACACTCTCCGACATAGAAATTAAAGCAGACTCTTCGGTATCTATAGGTACCTTGCTCGGGTTGAAGTTACTTGCAGGCAAAGCTTTGGCATGATTAGTTGATCGGGTGTCTACTTTGATGGTGTTTCTAGAAATTTGGTCTGTAGGAAACTGTTTGGTACATAAGCTTCTATTGTGATTATTCTGTTGTTTAAACGGAACCCTACAAAATCGATACTCCTCAATATTATCCTTAGTAGGTGCTGACAAAGGATCTTTGAGCCACAGAAATCTAGTTACATCTCTATCTGGAGTTTGAAGATTTATTTGAAGGAATGCCTTCTCAATATCAGCAATAATTCCAATAGCATTCATTCTAAAACGTAAAAGTAAACTACATAGGTTTTCCAAAATTACAGGTCCACGGTAAAGACAATCATTAAGACTATTGTTGCCTTTTCTGGTTTTTGCTGACGCGTCATACACTATCCTAAGTTTAGTTGAGGTTTTCGACTCAGTGATAATAGGGTGATGAGGTATATAGTGAAGGACTCCATCGTTTCTGTCTGAAAAACTCACTCGTTCGATTATACCTCTGACACACATAAGACCTCTGACTACCACTATCAAAAAGAACACCACAACGCGTTTCTTGTTTAGTATCAGCATTACGCAAAGTAATAGTTGCAGTTTGAAGAATAACACTCTCCGACATAGAAATTAAAGCAGACTCTTCGGTATCTATAGGTACCTTGCTCGGGTTGAAGTTACTTGCAGGCAAAGCTTTGGCATGATTAGTTGATCGGGTGTCTACTTTGATGGTGTTTCTAGAAATTTGGTCTGTAGGAAACTGTTTGGTACATAAGCTTCTATTGTGATTATTCTGTTGTTTACAGTAAACACACCTTTTATGTGATTTACAAAATTTCACAGTGTGTCCCTTACTTAAACATACGTAGCACCTACCTTGAATTGCTTTCTTACGTGCCTCAGCAGATTGATATTTTGTACATTGGTCATTCCAATGTGTTCCTTCACAAAAAATACAATTTAATTTATCGTTTCCCACGAGTGAGTGGGTAGTTGTCAACCTCTTAGTGTCCGCCTGTGGATTGGGAACAGTAACAAAACTATTAGAGTAAGATGAAGTGCTAGGTGTTGAGGTCGTCAGTTGCTCTGCTTTCTCCCGAATCGAAATTAAGTTATTTACAAATTTGCACAAAGTTTTAACATCCAATTCCCCAGAAATATTCATTTCTTCAACTTTCAAAACAATCTCATAGGGCAGCTTACTGAAAATTTGAGAAACAAAGTAGTTAGAAGTAACGTCTTCACCTAAGGCTTGAAGACAACGCATATGTTTCTCAATGTTGTCAAATCCTCGCCTTAGTGTTACCGTGTCACTGGACTTGATAGGTGGCATATCCCTCAAGGCACAGTAATGAGAATTCACTATTACCTGTTTCTTAGCAAATCTGTCTTTCAACAAGGTAATAGCAATATCATAGTTTAGATCTGTAATGGGGAGTCCAGCGATGCAACGTTTAGCGTCACCTTTTAATTGTGCAATCAAATAGTTAAATTTGTCAACGTTACTGAGTGTGGGGTGGCTATGAATGGCAGACTCAAAACTATCCCAAAACTCCTGCCACCGTAGCATGTCCCCTTGGAAGGTTGGTAATACCAACTTTGGTAGTTGAACATACTGGTGCTGTATAGTTGGTATTGGCTGAACGGTAGACGTATCAGGCACTGTTGCCTGTGACTTATTAGTTTGAGAAATATCTAGTCTTACCGTAAGCTGTGCAAGCACCTCCTCACAGTCCATCATAGTATTTATGAAGTCGTCCTCTGTGGTGGGTCCTTCAGTTTGTCCATCTTCAGTAATAGGCTCGGTGTCCAAACGTTTTTGAATTTCTTCCACTCTCTTTACAAAGCTTGTCAAAGTCCGTAGTCGTGTTTGAAGTTGTAGTTCTGTTAAGTCTGTAGTCTCCAAGAATGCATTTGTATCAGTAGTATAAGTCTTCAGTCGTAGTAAGGCAGATTTCAATCGAAGGTCCCATCTTGAAGTCATTCTTTGTTATTCAGGAAAGTGAAGTTCAAAGTTGGAAGTTGTAACAATTTTGAGTAAAGAAGTTAAGTTTAGAAAGTTGTAAAAAGTTAAAGCAGGAAACCACGCTCTGCTACCATATTGTGATATCCGTGGATAAGTAAAGTTATGTTTGGTTATCCTGCTTTAAATTAAGTTTTAAGTTAATAAATGTAGAATAAATAAAGAGTTAAAATTGTATCAACTTTCTTTCTTTAGTATTAGTTTATTTACATTCAATTATTTCCATGGAAACCAAAAATAAAAACCAGCTGTCTCAGCACATATGTCTTGTAATGTTAAAATACTTACTACAGGTTGTACTCGTCTGGAAGGTTGGGATGGTCCAGCTAATTCAGCAGTCATTGCTCGCCGCATTGCAACATTAGCTCGTGTATTAGACGACGACCTATCTACAGATAGCCAAATTCCATCGGTTGAGGATGCCTGGGCTACAGCTGAAGTTGAAGGTATTGAATGAGGTGTAATAGGAGGTACTACTAATGAGGGTCTAACAACAGAAACTATTGTTGGTGAGAGCTGTTGAAAATAAAATTAGTATTAGTAATAGGCGGGGTGTTATTAAAATAATATTAAATTGTTTAGGTAATGCTACCTACATGTTCTGATGAAAACATTCGTAGAAAACTTGAAGGTTCCAGTATTATCATATTTGTAATTTCTTCATGTGGAAATCCAGAAATAGGGATTGAAGCTGAAGGGATGTTTGTTAGGTCCCTCTCATAAAACACACCATCTCTCTGAAACAAATAGTTTAAAATGTAAATAGGTATAAGATTCTCTTAAACTATAAAAATCTTTTTGTCTCTATATAACTCACCATAAGAATTCGTAGAACACAGGTAACATCATTAATCCTTGAAGTTATATAATAATCCTCAACTAACAGCTCCTGCAAAGCTGTTGTATAAAGCTCGCTTACACACCTCTCAGCATAATCTTGGTCTACTTGCCGGAAGTTGGTGGGTATAGCAAGTCTAGCTATAA